CTGCTTACTGTTTTGTGGAGGCAAGACTTGGGTGGGAAAGAATTCAAGTCAGCAAAGACCTGACACCTACTTTCCCAGCAAGACCTTTGCATTACACCTAGCTCATCTCTTCCACGGTCCCCTAAACTCGCTCTGCTCACCTACCACAGCTCTTTCATGGATTTTGATCTCCCCAACCAATCACTACAACTTCGATTGTCCTTCTGGGCCTATCCACACAGTCTCCGTGTCTTTGAGGGTTCAGCTAGAGCCCTATCTCCTCCAGGAAGTCTCTCCCGACCTCTCCAGCCACCGTGTTCTCTCTGTCCACTGATGATCTGCTATGTATTTGACGCTTCATCATCCACCACTTCGTACTGTCCATTATCAGTTTCATCTGCAGCTCTTCTCTCTCCCGTGCTCCAAATCCATACTGCCAACCTGCTAGAAATCTTCAGAATGATGACTCGCTGGCGCCTCCACTCAACATGTCCAAAACAACTCATCATCTTCAGTACCAATTACCCCCCCAGCACGCACGCACACGCACGTGCACACACACACCCTTCTCCTAACTTCTCTATTAATGGAGTTCAGCATGTATGTCTAAAGCACTGCATTAGGCACTATGGAGATAGGAAGGTATACAAAGATGAATAATTTCCCTTTGACCTACATGTCAGGATGAGTTAGGCTCCCCTCTTCTGCTCACCACTCTCCAGAGTACCCTGTATTTGGAAGTTACCATTCAATATGCTAATGAGATCTTCCCCTCACTAGACTATGAACACCATGAGGGCAAGGGGCATGCCTTAGGTTTCTGTGCCTGACCGGTGCCCAGGTCAGAGACTGATATCCTAGTCCTCTGCTGGCTGGCTAGGTGGATGACATCGCATGCCCTTAAGGAGTTCACCATCAAGCTGGACCCCTAGACTTGGCGTTATGCTCACCTCTTCCCTTTTCCTCATAGCTGATTATCAGCCAGTTTTCTTGATTCTATTTTCACAATATCTACTGCATCCATCCACTTCCTCTTCCTCTCCACTGTCGCCAAAGTCACCCACGCCACTATCTGGATTGCTGAGACCTCAGCAGTAGTCTTCACTGGTTTCCCCACATCCTCATTGGTTATCCCCACCACTTCCCTGCCATCCAGCCCCAACACCACCACTAGAAAGATGTCCCTAAACCACATGCAACCCCCTGCTTACAGCTTGTCATTGACACCCTTCTTAATGTAGGTCCAGCTCAAGGCCCCACCCCTTCTCTTCACTCACCAGACCCTCAGCCCAAATCCTCCTACCACCCACTCCATGCTTCCCTACTTCCCGGCTTTAACTTAGTGACTCCTTCTAACCTTCTGCCCATCATAAGCCTCTTTTCATCATTCAAGAACCAAATCAAGTGCTTTTCTCCTCTGAGGTTATTGTTAATCACATCGTTTCTTTACTCCTCCAACAGCTTCGTATGTAGAGCTTTGTCTGTGTGACTCTGTCCTATCCTGTCATGGTTGGTTGTGTACACACCTATCTTGACTACTAGACTGTAAGCTCCTTGGGGGCAGGGTCCATGAGGACAGATTTTTATAGCCCCCTCCCCACCAAGTACCCAGAAGATGCTCAATGAACAAGCTAAACAGAATTGAATGACCTTTTGATCCCTGGTCCGAGAAGATCCCACATGCCTCAGAGCAGCTAAGCCTGTGCGCCACAACTACTGAGCCTGTGCTCTAGAGCCTGCGAGCCACAACTACTGACCTGCGTGTCACAACTACTGAAGCCTGCATGCCTAGAGCCCACGCTCTGCAATGAAGAGTGGCCCCCACTAGCCGCAACAAGAGAAAGCCCACACATAGCAACGAAGACCCAATGCAGCAGAAAATAAATAAATAAATAATAAATTTATTTTAAAAAAAAAGAATTGAATGAACTGCCCCACAATATTCATTGATTGTACAAATATTTACTGAGCCCAACAACACAGAAAAAACATCTCTGCCCTTGTGGTACTTACATTCTAATGGTCGGATACAGATGGTAAATGAAATAAATAAGTAAATGTACACTATGTTAGATAGAAAGAAATGGTAAACAAAAACCTACAAAAGGAAAGGGGGATAGGGCCAGTGGGAATAGGGTTCAATTTTCTCCTGGGTGACCAGGAAAGGTGCTACCCTGAAGCCAACGAGTGAGCAAAGACCTGAAGTAGGTAAGGGAACCAGCCGTGCTGGTATCTGGGGAGAGCATTCCAGGTGGAGGAACAGCAGGTGAGGCAGGAGCCTGTCTGGAACAGGCAACCAGGAGGCCAGTGTGGCTGAAGTGTGATGAGTGAGGGGGAGAGAGGTCAAAGAGAAGGCCAGAGGGGCCACCAGAGGCCAAATCCTGGAGGGCCTTGTAGGCTATTGGGAATGACCTTGACCTTTACTCTTTTTGAGATGGGGAGCCATTATACTACTCAAGTTACACTTTGAAAGGATCACTCTGGATCTACTGAGTTTAAATTAGATTACAGGGGTGACAAGGACAGGAGCAGGGATGCCAGTTAGGAAGCTACTGCAATAATCTAGGTGAGAGATGGTCCATATTCTTCCAGTCTGAGGCCTTCCCTGACAAGCAGGCTTCCTGGCCCCAGCTAGCCAGACCTATCCTTGACAGTTGCATAGGATGCTTCTAAGGGTTAGGTTCCCTAGGTGCTCAAACCAGAGCCAGAAAGCTGCCAGGTGAGTCCTTAACTGAGTTGTAAACCAAAGAGAGTATAGGAAAAGCTCTAAGGGAAGGGGCCAAAGACCAGGAGAAACAGCTCGGGGCAGTCGGTCCACAAGGCAGGGGCCAGACTATACGCTATAAGGCTACAAGGCATCTCAATAAGGGACACTATAAGGAGTGCGTGCTGTCTGTCTGCCCCCCACAACCCCTCAAACAATGCTTGGGACTCCCAGGCCAGGAAGCAAGAGCTGTTCCTTTTAGTTTTACAGATGAAGCCAAGTTAGAGTGAATGTGTCAAATTATTTAGAGATCCTAATGAGATTACACAAATTGAAAGATGCAGCAACGGGTAAAAATCGGCTGTGAAAATCATCAAAACCAAGGAAATTTCAAGCACAGCCTGTGAAAATACTTCAGGGCTCAACAGAAACGTCTCAATTCCCAGTAATATTGCATTGGCCAAAAAGTTCGTTCAGGTTTTTCCTAAGTGTAACGGAAAAACCCGAACGAACTTTTTGGCCAAGCGAATTGAAAACTGTTAAGACATCTACACATACATATATAATTATAAATCTGTTACTAAACACTTATTCCATTAAAGGAAATGCCCCACCTTCACCCAACGCACAACACAGAAAAGCATGAAACTAAATGTTATCTCAAATGCTTTAGGGAAAAGCTCCTCACAGTGGTTATCTGGGGGAGGAGGTGAGGAAGAGGGGAATATTTATTATCTACATTATCTATTTCTATAAGTTTTAACTTATTTACAGTGAGCCTATAATTTTATTAAATAATAGTATTAATTTTGAGGCATTAAAAAAAGCAATAAAGGGACTTCCCTGGGGGTGCAGTGGTTAAGAATCCACCTGCCAATGCAGGAGACATGGGCTCGATCCCTGGTCCAGGAAGATCCCACATGCCGCGGAGCAACTAAGCCCGTGTGCCACAACTACCGAGCCTGCTCTCTAGAGCCCGCAAGCCACAACTACTGAGCCCACATGCCACAACTACTGAAGCCCACGCGCTTAGAGCCTGTGCTCTGCAACAAGAGAAGCCACCTCAACGAAGAGTAGCCCCCGCTTGTCGCAACTAGAGAAAGCCCGCACACAGCAACGAAGACCCAACGCAGCCAAAAATAAATGAATAAAAATTAATTAATTAATTAATTTTTTAAAAAAGCAATAAGGACATTAACCAAAGGAAAAAATACACTGAGGCACTACCTACTTAAAAGGAGCCCTTGGGTAAATAGCTTTCAAGAGTGAAGAGATATAATAATGTGAATAACTGAACCTTATTTTATCTGTATCGTGACATTTTTATAATGCTAGGGATTTATTTTTAAATATAGGCAGGACCTAGTTTCTTTTTTTTAATTAATTAATTAATTTTATTTATTTATTTTTGGCTGTGGTGGGTCTTCGTTGCTGCGCGCAGGCTTTCTCTAGTTGTGGCGAGTGGGGGCTACTCTTCATTGCGGTGCGCAGGCTTCTCATTGCGATGGCTTCTCTTGTTGTGGAGCATGGGCTCTAGGCACGCGGGCTTCCATAGTTGTGGCTCATGGGCTCTAGAGCGCAGGCTCAGTAGTTGTGGCGCACGGGCTTAGTTGCTCCACGGCATGTGGGATCTTCCCGGACCAGGGCTTGAACCCATGTCCCCTGCATTGGCAGGCAGATTCTTAACCACTGCACCACCAGGGAAGCCCAGGACCTAGTTTCTTAAATAATAAAAGGGAAGTACATTACCCAAGCAAGTTCTAGAAAGATTACTGATGAGTGATTAGATTGCATTCTCTGGGTATCATTAATGAGTTAAGGGCAATCTTTTTCAGAATCAAAGTGGCCAGACAGCTTCCTGCAGTCCTATGATTATTATTTCTCCTACACATCTCTGAGGCATTTAGACTTAGGTCTGCTCAAAGAGCTTAGGGCTAAAAAAGGAAGTTAGCACATGACCTCTCTTATTGTTGTATTCTGCCATGGTGATCCTTAGAGTAGCAGGAAGGGCTTTGTACTATATTACACGGGCTAGAATTAGTAGACAGAAGTGGACATAGTTAACGTGGAACAGTTGTCTGAGCTTTGAATTCTTTTGCTTTTTTAGGTTTTGCTGCCTTGATGTAGTCTAAGTACAACTTGGTTTCAAGATATCTAATCATAGATTTTTTTCCCAGTTCTGTTCTTGTCTTATTTTTGACATACACATACAAGTACAAACAATTCTGTTAACCAATGAAAACTACAAGATTTTTGGTCCGAAGACCAAGAAAGTACAAAAGTCACAGTCAAGAAAGCTTTGAAAAGATTGACTTACCACTGGATTTAATTTCTCGGACATAATTACTAGGGAACCAGCCTGTTCTCCCATTTAATGTGCCTTCCCACCAGCCTCCTTCTTCAACTCTAGTAACATAAATGATGTCCCCTTTACAGACAGACAGTTCATCTTCATTAGTCTGCTTAAAGTTGAATCTCGCCTTTACTATCAACTGGTGACTTCCATTTTCCGTCATCTCCTGGAGAAACAAAAGTCACACCAGATTAGGCGCTCATCTCAATGAGGCAGGGGCAGATATTCTATGAATTTAGGCAAATAAAGTAGAGTGACCAAGGATAAAACCTCAGGTCCATCTCAGTCTTGAGTTTTTAATTTAGGAATGGACCTAACATGGGTAGGCCTTGGGGGAATGAGGGGAAGAGGATTAATAAAGCCCTCAAAATTGTAGGCAAACTTTTGCATTTGTGAGAATGTGTATTTTGGAGGAGGTCATAGCTTTTATTTCCTTCTCCCCCACCAATTATCTAAAGATACTTTTTTTTTTTTTTTGGCCACGCCGCTCAGCTTGCGGGGATCTTAGTTCCCCGACCAGGGATCGAACCCAGGCCCCCTGCAGTGGAAGCTCGGAGTCCTAACCACTGGATTGCCAGGGAAGTCCCAAAAGATACTTATTTAAATGAGCCAGGAAACAAAGTAGAGTAATAAACTATCCCACTCTGCCTCTACCCAACACCCGAAGTCTTACATAATTCCGTGACCAAGATTAGGTACCAACCTCCTCTCATAAAATCTGCCTCCCCCTTCCAATTACTAAGAATATCTTAAATTGGCTAAGACTTATTCATATGCAAAGATCAAATATCCCACAGTTACCTAAGTCTGGAGTTCTTAACCTGTCACACAAACATGTCCCTTTGAGAAGCTGATAGCACAATAAGCCTTGACCCAAAACACAGACCAGTAAGTTCACACACAGGAGATTTTACAGACAATTTGAGAGGGCCCAAGGGGTATGGAACCATAGAGTGTTCATCAGCTTCTGAAAGAGATCTGCAATCTCAAAAGATTAAGTGCTTTGGAAGTAATTAAAGTACTTTGGAAGTAATAGCTCATGAGGGCTTAAAGCAAGTGGGTGGATTTTGACAAGGAATAAAGGTCTCAAAAGAGCAGAAGCTAGGGCGCTCCCTCCCAAATGAAAGCTCCCATGGGGGGGTGGGGGGAGGGAGATGCAAGAGGGAAGAGATATGGGAACATATGTATATGTATAACTGATTCACTTTGTTGTGAAGCAGAAACTGGCACACCATTGTAAAGCAATTATACTCCAATAAAGATGTAAAAAATGCAAAAAAAAAAAAAAAGACCAAATGCAAAGATAACCGAGCTATCCCAATATAGGAGCTCGTCCTGGGCTCAATAGGAATGCAAAGAGAAAAAAGAAAATGACAGTGGCAATGATGAGAGCAAGTAATATACACTGATTGCCTTCTATGTGCCAGGCACTATTTAGTTCTCCTAATAACCCAGGGGGAGAGGGGAAATAACAGCAAACTTCCCTCCGGAAGTCGCCCTAATGACTGACATTTGCATAGCATTCTCAGTTGCTCAGTTCTAGAAAGGGACAGGACTTTGGGGCTTCAACCCCGATTTTCAGACTCTCTGCCCCACATGCCTTTGATTTGCTCCCATGGGCCAGCCTGAATTGGGGCGAAGTTCCAAATTCGTTTTCTCACAACGCCCCAAACAACAGAATGGCTATGTCACCACCTATGGAGATGTAACCGAGATAGCAATCAAAGTTTACAAATTTTAAAACAGGCAGGGGGAATTGGGGACCAGACTTACCACTGGCTTTGACTGCCTTTGCAGCCCTGGAGCTGTGCTAGAAACTGCTCCCTGTGGGTTTGTCTGAGAGCTATTAGCAGCGCTAAGAGAAGAGGAACGTCCACATGGCCTTTCTGAGAGCTGATCTGTGAAAAGAGGAAAAGGCACCGTAAAGAGAACCCCTTGTGTCAGAAAAACATCTACAGCTTAATATTATCTTTCACGGGACATTATCAAAGGCAACCTGATCATAATTCTAACTGCTCTATGATGAACATGCCGAGCTTATTTCATGCCCTTCCCCGCCTCCCTTTTTGGTGGCCAACTTCTTTTTCTTAACCTTACTGGCCATTGCTCTCCAGTAGAATGGAAAACAGCGACAGAACCACATTTTCTCTTAACCCATTTCCCTGCAACTCTTCCCTCCTGAACCCGTTGCAACAGTATGCCCTGTTAGCCCAGGCAGAACTATATTGGGTACCAAACAGCTGTTTGTGGCTCTTATTACTTTGAAATATTTCAAATTTCTCGCTTTGCTTTTTGGCCTATAACTGAGTGGTTCTTTTCTTCCTCGCATGGAACAGTCTGTGTGGCACATATTATGTAAAATCCCTCTTATGCCTGGGGGAAGGGGTGGGGAGAATGAGAATGAGAGAGAATGTGTGTTTGAGAAAGATGCAGTCTTGATACTGGAATTATTTTTTTAAAAGAATCAAACTCAAGAGTCTTCTCTTCCTTGAAACCTTGTGAAATTCAATCAGCCCAGCGCTGAGCTGGGTGTTTTCAGTATGGCGAGAGCCGTACGAAAGGGAGGAGCTGGCTTCCTGACAAATTCAAATGAGGGTTCTTTTCCTCTCCATTTATTTTTAAAAGATATAAACTGCAAAAGTCTAAAGCCCAAACATTCCCGAGGCGACAAGCTCAGTATCCAAGTAATTTCCTTGATGCTGTGGATTTTAACTTTCACCTCCTTGTACTTTATAAATATCTATGGCAAGGGAAGAGACTGTAAAACTTGCTAGGAGAGTTTGGCAAAGGAACATATAATTTGTACGGCATAATGTTCGAATTATACGACCCTCCCTGCCCAGAACTGGATAGTTGTCATGTGTGTTAAATATAGTTACTTGAATTAGCTGTACTTTCTGCTATACGCCTTGCAATAGCTCCAAAGCATTTTCTTCCAGAGAGCAAAAGAACAACTTCAGAGAAGTATTTTTACATTTATTGCTATTATATACAGCTCTTTTGACTAAAACTATAATTACTTGATAGCTTCCTAGATGCTCCAGCCTATTTGGCACTGATTATATTGTCTGTTCTTGTTCGCTCATTGTTTCACGTGGGTAAGTTGAGTCTCCCTAAATAGACGGTAATTTTCTCCAGGGCAGGGACCAAGTCTTACACTTCCTTTGTAGCACCTGGCAGTGCTGGGCACACAGCCTGTTGACTCTCTAACGGTTTGAGCATCAGGACCCGTGATGGAGCATCAGGGCTCTGGAGTCGGTCAGATGTGGGTCTGAATCCCAGGTCTGCTGCTTACTTTCTACTTGGGCCACTATGGGCCTGACTTTCCTTATCTGTAATACGGACCTAATACTAACAGGTCCCAGGCTTGTTTCAAAGATTGAATGAGATCACCGATGGCTCTTAGCACAGCCGAGACCCATAGTAAGGGCTCAACACATTTTAACTATGGTTATTACTGCCCAGCTGTAGGTAAGATACTATATCACGGAAGGAATGAAGTTATACTTTAAGGTTGTCATCATTTGCTTCGCATTTACTAGGATTTACATTTCATTCCGCCAACGTGATGGATACTAAACATTTAAATAAACGATGTTCTTTTCACTCACTATGAACCTGAGGTTTCATTTCCAGCGCAAGGTTACTGAAGGGTTCCTTAACATGGACAAAGGCATACAGAAAACTATGAGAAAAAATATGTCTCTGGTGGAGAAAGGGAAGTAACGGCTGCATTTTGTAAACTTTATGAAAAAGGGAACTGATATTTTTTCCTTTTTATTTTCCGTCATGTTATACTCCATTGCCTATTCAATAGCTTTGAATGAAATTGTTTCTTGGTTCTTATTATATTAAGGGCATTAGAATAACCTCTGTGACAGTTATGTTTAAATCCTAAACTATGACAGATTAAAGTATCTGGCACCCATCAGGGTTTCTTTAGGGGGAGGGGAGAAGTCTGCCCCAATCGCACAATCCTGGCCATAGATAGTTGGCTCCTAGGGTAATCAGAGACATGTGAACCCAAATGTGTCACCCAGAACCCATCTGTCCCAAGCCCTGCTTACCTTCTGTTGCTTTGTTGACAGCTAAAAGAGTGCTCAGAACCTTGGAGAAATTGACCCCTGCATGAAGGTCATCAGGATCAAATACCTATGAGAAAGGAAATTGAAACTGTTAAGACACTGTAAGTATTCAACTCAACAAACCAAACTATCAGAAGGCCACTTCCTCTAGCTCTCAGGAGAAAAAAAAATGTAAAAGCCAAGACCCAAACCTCTGTATACCTTTGGGGAGAAATGAAAGCAGCAGCTGAGCTGCCTAATGACATGTGGCGGGCCATCAGTGAGTCAGAGAGAAGCAGTAATGGGAAATGAGAGCCACGCCGAGTCCAGGGCCCACTAGGAAATGCACAGATCTGCTCTTCTGACCTGAGCCCATCAATACTCTCAGCCCAGTTACTGGAAACTCTGTGCTGGGTTACAGTCAATGCCCATCACCTACAGAAGGAGGGGAAGTCTTTGTAACACGCTTTCCTCTGTAGAGTTTATTCACTGTTCTCAGCCAGGGCACTGTCTGCAGGGCCTTCCTCTCTGCTGCCCATCCTCCCCAAGGCCACCCACTGGGTCCCAACTCCATGTCGCCCAACTTTCTGCCCAGGCCTGCCTCTTGCTCCCAGCCTCAATGCCCGGTTCTGCCCCTTGACCTTGCCCCTCTCAGCTCATCTTCATGGATTTGACCCTTGGGTGGCCTGAGCCTATAGGTTCTTCCTGGCCTTAGGTGACTATTCCAGGTATGACCTCTGACCTTCCTGGTATTGCTCAACTGCCAGCAGCAAAACATTAAAGAAATACAATATTTCACCTGGCCTGTCGCAACCATCATTCTGATATCCCACTGTCCCTAGGGAAGATACCAAGCAGTTGTTATTTGAAAGACAATTGCTAATTTAAAAATGTATTCAGGGCTTCCCTGGTGGCGCAGTGGTTAAGAATCCGCCTGCAAATGCAGGGGACACGGGTTCGAGCCCTGGTCCGGGAAGATCCCACCTGCCGCGGAGCAACAAAGCCCATGGGCCACAACTACTGAGCTTGCACTCTAGAGCCCGCGAGCCACACGACTGAGCCCACATGCCACAACTACTGAAGCCCGCGCACCTAGAGCCCGTGCTCCCAACAAGAGAAGCCACTGCAATGAGAAGCCTGCACACCGCAATGAGAGTAGTCCCTGCTCACCAAACCAGAGAAAAGCCCGCGTGCAGCAGATGAAGACCCAATGTAGCCAAAAATAAAATAAATAAAATAAAAATAAATTAATTAAAAAAATAAAATAAAACGTATTCAATATCTTGTAATAACCTGTAATGGAAAAGAATCTGAAAAAGAATAGATATATAACTGAATCACTTTGCTGTACACCTGAAACACTGTAAATCAACACTATTTCAGTAAAAAAAAATTAAAAATTTAAAAACTACAAAAATTAAAATGTATTCATTGTTTTAAAATGTATGGAGGTGTCTTCTAGTCTCATAAATGTGTATTTGAATCAAGAAGTATGCTCAAGCACAGGCACAACCTATTAATCTGCCAGCCAATGATGCCAATCTATATATATCTATAGGTAACCCGACGCCCACCTTCTGGATGGAAATACACTTTCAAAAAACATTTCATTCCAGGATGTCTAGAAGTTTGCACCCTTTTTTTTCCCCAATGTGGTGATGGGAATAAAATGTACCTTTGCACATGGGACATGGTTGGTAATGAGCCTAAGATTTTGAAGGATCTGTCTTCCCGTCAGGTAGAGACATTTGTTCCATTTCTAATCCTCATGTTTTCTGGGAGCTGCGTCAAGACCCAATTTTATCTTCTTTGTGTACATATTCTAGAAGACCTAAAATCGGTCTCTCGAATGAAAATATAGAGTATCGGGGCTTCCCTGGTGGCGCAGTGGTTGAGAGTCCGCCTGCCGATGCAGGCGACACGGGTTCATGCCCCAGTCCAGGAAGATCCCACATGCCGCGGAGCGGCTGGGCCCGTGAGCCATGGCCGCTGAGCCTGTGCGTCCGGAGCCTGTGCTCCGCAACGGGAGAGGCCACAACAGTGAGAGGCCCGCGTACCACAAAAAAAAAAAAAGAAAGAAAGAAAATATAGAGTATCTATTTTTTTTTCAAATTTGGGGGGGGGCATCAGTATAAGCAATATATGCAAATGTGTGCCCCTTCTGAGACTTAGAACTCTTTTTTTTAAATAAATTTATTTATTTATTTATTTTTGGCTGTGTTGCGTCTTTGTTGCCGCACGAGGGCTTTCTCTATTTGCGGCGAGCGGGGGCTGCTCTTGGTTGCGGTGCACGGGCTCTAGGAATGCACGGGCTTCAGTAGTTGTGGCACACGGGCTTCAGTAGTTGTGGCTTGCAGGCTCTAGAGTGCAGGCTCAGTAGTTGTGGCGCACGGGCTTAGTTGTTCCGCAGCATGTGGGATCTTCCCGGACCAGGGCTCGAACCCGTGTCACCTGCATTGGCAGGCGGATTATTGACCACTGCGCCACCAGGGAAGTCCCCACACTCTTTATTCATTTAATCAGTGAATGTTTTGCATTCAAACTTAAAATGACTGAAGAGCCCAATCACATCTAAAAATGAAACACTAATACACTTCTAGCAAAGGGGGAATGTCGATATTACTAAAGAGTTAAATGACAGTACGATCCAAATATGTTCCTGAATGCTACAACCTAAAATGCAAACGTTGGACTTCCCTGGTGTTCAGTTGTATTGGTACTTGGCTGAATTTGAGAACAAACAAACTGATCAGGAAATGAAACGTGCATCAACAAGAGGCACTGTGTCTGCTTGAGGGAAGTTGCCTGCACTATACACAGTTCCCTTTTTAGAAAACCTCAATACACTAGAATGTACCCACAGATGCTGTTCTGAAGCACTTGGAACTCCATAGGAAGAAGTTGGAAGAGGCCTCTCGGGACCAGCAGAGAAGGCAATGCCTGAGGGTTATGATTTCCAAGCAGATGGAAGGTTAGATAGAACCATGAATGCCCTCTACGGCACTGCACCCTCACAAGCCTCACATGGAACAGTACCGAACATTCCACCCCAGACCTTTCTTCCATGCACTTGAGATTGGTCACCTACTAAAATAGAAATATTATTTGGAGGGAGTGCAATACTTTCAGCTGTTATCAGTCTTTTACATCTTAGTGGAAACGAGAGGTGTGAGACCAAGTTTAGAGATGATGATGTGGAGAAAAATTAAGGGCACTGGCACCCAACTGGGAAAAAGCAAGGGAGACAACCCCAGCATGGAGAGGGTGCGGGCAGAGCAAAGAGAAGTAGATTCCAATAAAGCCACTTGCCTAGGCCTAATCCCAACCATTTATATGTGCAAAATGGAGAACCAATTCCCCTTTTCTACCTGCAAAGCAGTGGGATGGTTAAAAGGTGATGCAAATTTGTACTTTGACGCCATTATGCGATTTCACAATACAAAGTCCCAACGACACTCATCTCCCTATACTCTGTGCAAGCCTCACTCGCTTGTTTAGTGTCTCTGGTATGAAACTGAGTCCCAGATTAGCTGAACTTTCTTGATTCCTATTTTGGTGCAGAAATTAGCTGCTTGGTTCCAGTTGAATCTGTGAAGGTCAGATGAACAGCAGGATTCCCTCCCTCCATTTACCACTACTGTGAGGCAGACAGGTAAGAAAGGATTGCTTCTTAGACTACAGCTCGATGGTTTCAAGGTCCCACGCCTGCAATGGGATGAGGCAAGGTTCAAGTATAGCAACGACAAAAAAACATTTACTTTACGCTGGGTAAGCAATAGGAGAGACAAGGATTAAAGTTCATTCAAGATTCTTTTTTTTAAGTATTTACATAGAGCCAGCCTAAGGTCTAATCCTACATCGGCAGCTGAACTCAGACAAGGCATTTCATTTTTAAACGTATCCCCACATTTTTCCATTTTGGAGATCCACAATGACAGCAAAACCTATTTTCCATCCACTAAACACCAGGTGTTAATTCTGAACCATTGGGGATCTGCCAGTATAAGCTGCACAGAAGTTAATATTTATATGGCTTTACAAATAGATCCTTTTTGGAGGAGTCTTCAGTTTCAACATGTATGCTATTTTATGACATTTTCCCTAAACTGAGAAAAGCAAGGAAGCACAGGAGAAGACACTCCCCCCAGCCACTTGGTAGTCTTACAGCTATGATTTCTTGACTTACCAAGCCCTTGCTATGCGCTATATGCTGACACCATGCTTGGAGTCTTCATTGCCCTTGATTCTCCGAGCAAGCCTGTAATGTGGGTACAATTATTTTCTCCGTTTTATAGATAAGTAAACAGTGACTCAGAGTAAGCAGTTAAGTCACAAAGCAAGAAAGTGATGGAACCAATAAAAATACACAAGAAAGTGCTCCAAGAGGCATTTTAGCCCTGTATGCACATTTTATGTTTTCATGAGCCATGAAAAAGATGAGAAAGAAATCTGTGAGTTTGTACACAAAAAGAAATCCCTTGCTGCTGTCGATATGTTTGTACACAAAAAGAAATCCCTTGCTGCTGTCGATATGAAATCCCTTGCAGCATCTGTACCATACGCAGCAAGTTTGTTACAACCTCTAAGATGACTTAATTCAACTAATTGTGACAAAGAGAAAATGGCCTATATGAGAAGACTGTCTCCCCAGGAGCTTTGCCTAACTCATGTGCTGTCCTTCTCATTTCAAGGGGCAGCCCTGACCCAGCAGGCACCTGGTCATGTTTGCCAGAAGGGGGTTAGGGCTGCTCTGAGTTACTTCTATTTGTTCATCTGGTTCCATCGTCCACATAAGTGAGGTGTTAGCTGGGCGGGGGGGTGCAGGGGGAGGACGGCATCCAGCCCATGGTTATAGGACCAAGTGAAACCATTCCTCGGCATCATGCTCTCAGAACCTGAGGTAACCAGTCACGGCCCCAGCCACATCCTTGTTAAGAGAAGAAGCCATACCATATGCTAGTTCAGATGCCTAGTGATGGGTGATGCCTGTGATGCCTCTAATGTCATGTGGCTTCAGCACCATTCAGTGGACTTCATTTAAAGTTAATATAGGGTTCGAAGTGATCACAATAGGCTCCATCACTCAAC